GTATCTCCTCTATCCCATTTTACGTGGCACACTATCCTTCCGGCCAGTGCCAAAAATAATTGACACCTTTTTTATATTTAGAAATGATTAAACTTTAAACTTCTAATTATACACAAACACCTAGCACATGAACAATCCACAGAAAAACTATTGTCGGTTCAATAAGCAATACTAGAGTTGTCATTACACGAACAAAGTGTTTCAATTAAGGGAAAGTGTGACTATTTTATGTGAAATAGGGTAGGTAAAGACTAAAATGGATTTTGATGGACTTGGACTTAGGATTGTTATAGTTGGGCTAAAGTGTTGGGCTTGAGAAAATTGTAAAATTAAAGACTTAAGTAAAATAAAATTTAACAAAATATTTATATTTTATTTATGAATAATATTTAAATAATTATAAAATTTATATATCTAATTTATCGGTTCGGTTTGGTTATTTTTGCGGGTTTTTTAAGTAAAACCAAACCAAATAATATCGGTTTTCAAAATTTAAAACCAAACCTAATCAAACCCAACCAAATATCGGTTTGATTCGGATTGCGGTTCGGTTTGGTTTTTTAACCATAACCATGAACAGCCCTACCCTTAATAATAAGAGGATTTATAGCTTTAGTCTTTTAGACCACAAGTTTCAATAGTCCGTCTTTCTTTAACTTCATGCATAGCCAAACACCATCACATATAATGGGACAGAGGGAGGCTGGGCAGCGACGGGTACGGGAGGATGAGACCTAAGAGATTTGTATGCTTTGGAAGAAAAACTTGTACAGTTTGGGAAGGGATTTTGATTGATCAAAAGGCGAATCTACTTCACCAACTAATATGCCACCTTTTTATTTTTACCATGGTTACTGCTTGCTTCCGTTATTTTCTAGTTATATCATATATTTTCTTTTACCTTTTTCGTGAAAATGGTGTTTTTACATGAACATTGTTATTTTCTTTGTTGGTTTTAAAATGAGAGATGATAACTTAATACTTGAATTCTTGAACTCTTTTTTTTGTTCTCTCTTTATTCTATTAGTTAGTTCCTGGTGGGGACATGCTTTAGTAATCAAGGATCATTATTTGTAACTTATAAGTTCTGCTTTTCTCAGTCATACTATTATAATATTTATATTAAATTAAATTTGTGTTGGAATTTTCCTGAATTCTCTGGTAACATTGATTTTTGTTTTCTGAACTTTGTTAAAATTGCAAAAAGTTATAAACTATGAAATAGAGCAATACTGTAACCTGGAAAGAAAAGTTTACAAAAAAAAAAAGAAGATTAAATGGGACCAGGACAGTGCACGCTGTAAACTAGGAAAATGCTAATCTAGTCATTGTTAAAACTGAAAGAAGAACTATCAAATGGAGCAGCAATAAAAAAAAAGATTTAATGGGACCAGGTAGGGCACGCTGTAAACTAGGAAAATGCAAAACCGGTTAGAACTTTTGGTTAATGCTTCATTGTCCTTGAGTGCCATCCCTACTTCTTTGGCACATGTGTAGAATTTCTTTTATGCTCTGCAGAGATATGCCCCCTTCAAATTTGCTGGTATTCTGTAATCTAAATCTTGTGCTGTGTAAGGGGCAGAAGGTTTTGAGTTACAGAGTTGAAGATCATTTGAACTTATTTAGCTTGTTTCTAAACTTTGAATGGCTCATGGCACTTTTTCTTTTTGAGACATCTGGATAACACGACTTTCTAATAATCTGCTTTGCTTCCACACCTTCTAGAAAAATGGTTGGCTTCTTGATGGTGAATCCATCATGACTTACATTACTAGGGTGTTATGATTCTGCTTGACTATTTCTAGGCATCTAAGTCACACGATTGAACCATCATAATGTGAATGGTTGGTTTTCTAGTCGTCTACCAACTTCTACAGAGCAACATGTCTTGATGGTCCGAGTGTGTGTATCCTAAGTAATCCATAGTGGGGTTGGTCCCTACCCAATATACTACCTTTCAACCCCATTAAAAAAGCAGCTCAATGAAGTTCTAGATCTTGTTGATGACTGGATTCGTATGGAACAAATACCTTTTGCTTAGGAACTCTGCCCGTGATACTCTGTTTTATGGCCAAGATTTAGTCACTACCTTATTGAAAAGGCAGCGTATCTATAATAAATGTTCAAACGCAGCTTGGCCTTATTGACTAGTGGATTAGATTTTTACTATCTTCATATGATTATTTTTTGAGTAGGTATTGATTGGGAAGATCTCGACTGGAGCTCAAAATGATTTAGAGAAAGTCACCAAGATGACTTATGCCCAGGTAGCAGTATATGGTTTCAGTGACAAGGTTGGTCTCCTTTCGTTTCCACAAAGAGAAGATTCATTTGAGGCAAAGCCTTACGGTAGCAAGACAGCAGCAATTATCGACACTGAAGTTAGAGAATGGGTAGCCAAGGCATATGACCATACAGTACAACTCGTAGAGAAACACAAAGAACATGTGGCTCAGATTGCAGAAATGCTGCTTGAAAAGGAAGTCCTCCACCAAGAAGATCTGATCCAGGTATTGGGTGAACGCCCATTCGTGAGTGTTGAGCCCACAAACTATGACAGGTTCAAGCAAGGATTCGAAGAAGAGAACAAAGATGGCGCTGAGGCAAAAACCGCACAAGATGATGGATCATCATCGCCTGTTGAACCGGAGATTGTCCCAGTATAGTTGTGGTTTTTAACTGAGAATGCAGGGTAGCGAGTTTCTGGTATTAACGTTCAATTTTAGATTGTTGTAAAAATCATTAGTCATGATATTAATAACACAAACATGGTTTTTACTAATTTTTGTACCCCAAAGAACCATTTATTACAAAAAGGAAAATAAAAAAAGGAAAAGAGATTGTTGTGAACTTATATAGGTTCCTAATGACATTCGAATTTTAACTGAAGTTGCAAGAAGTTTCTCTTTTTCTTTGTCATAGTCTTGAAGTAAAACAAAATTATGCGGTTACTATCAACAATGTAATTAATACTTGAGCCACAGATCTTTTTGGAAACAACCTCACTACTTTAATGAGGTAGTGACAAGATTTGCGTATATTTTATCATCTCATGATCATACTTGTTGTTTTCTCAAATTTGATGGTCTTTAGTTTTTACCACGGTGATTCGTTTAATGAAATTTGTGAATCAGTGTATTCTTATCTATTCAATTCTAATTCACTCGACGTGATTTTTGATAACTTTTGTCTCATTTGATATATAAATTATGTAGGAATTAAGTTATGGAATATAAGTTATGTAGTATTTTTCAGAATTTATTGTAGTATCCAGAAATTGAAGTTATGCTTTTTGGGGCTTAATTTTTTTTTGGTAACTAATGGAATATATAAGCAAGTCCTTTTTTTGAAAATATATTATGCCCTCCTTAACATATAACATAAAACGTGGGATATTATAAAACGATCATATAAACTTATGAAGTCAAAAAATTCTTAGTTATGTTTTTTTATGACATAACTTGTGAGATATTATGATACAGAAATATAAACTTATTTTCAAAAGTTGTTTGTTCTTTCAATGTCTGGAATGTTCTTAATTACCTTTTGTTTAGTGTTGAAAGACAAAAATTAAAGACTACAAATTTAAAGGATAAAAATTAAACACCACCTTAAAATAAAGATATTTGTGTGAAGGACCCTTATACAAGTAAATCATTTACTAGGCAATTACAAATAATACTATTTAGTAATTAATAACACAATTGATAATCTAAAACAAATGACAAATATCCTATTATAGTAATTAAAATTATCCATGTCACAATTCAAAGTTGGTAATAAAGTCACCAACTGTACATAACATTTGAGGAAAGTACTGATGGCATTTGCTACACAATTGAGCTGGAAGACAGTATCTCAATAAGGGATATTTCTTGCAACTTATCCATCAATACCAAGAATAATAATAGAACATTTGTTTTGGAATTTTATAATGTCTCTACTTTCAAAAAATTAATTAATTTTGTCCTTATTTTGTAAATTGACAAATAAATTTGAGACATTTATTTTTAATAACGTAAATAAATAATATGAGACCGAGGAAGTATAGTTTAAAATGACATGAAGCTTAAAAAAAATAAAAACTTTTAAAACTTATAATCATAAATATGTTACGTCCTTTGAAACCTGTGTCTTAAAGATATCATAATATTTGTATGACTATTAATTTGTCTGACTTAACTTCTAAAATCAACTTATTTTTAGACTTGAGTCATAAATACATCATAATGTTTGTGTGATTATGACTATATTGTGATCTCAAAGATACGAGTGTGATTACTAGACTGATAGATAGTATTTCTAAAATCAACTTATTTTAAGACTTGAGTCATAAATACATTATATGTTTGCGTGATTATGACTATATTGTGATCTCAAAGATATCATAATATGAGTGTGATTACTAGGTTGATAGATAGTATTTCTAAAATCAACTTATTTTGAGAAATATTTTTTGTTTCAAAAGTACTTTTGATAAAAAGTAATTAATGTTTGACGAATCAATTTTAAAAATTATTTTGAATATTTAATTAAACTTTTTAAAAATATATGTATTTAGCGTTGCAGAAGCTTCGTCAAATAAGCATCAAGCTTCTCATTAACACCATTCTTAACCACGAGGTCTCGGATTCGAGCTCCCTTGGATACATAGTTACATTTGTTAGGGAGCGCTTTACCCTCCCATTACCCTCCCATGTAAACTTTCCGACACGAATCCGAATTTAGTCGGACTTCTCATTAATAGTAGTAAATGAGAAATGTAAAATATAATTATTTTTAAGTATAACAATATATTACTTTTTAAAAGTATTATTAATAATAAAGAATGTTATCACATAAATCATACTTGCTAAAATGCCATCACAACAACTAAAAACAAAACACTGACCCAGCTCTTTGAAAAAAGTAAAAGAACAACCCACAAAATAATTTTTAATGTTATATTACATATAATAATATTAACATAATATTTTATGTTGACCAATATATTTGTTTAAATTTCCCTTTAATTCCTCTAAACAACATATAGGTCTTTCCTCCACCAAGCCATTCCATATTTGCTATTTCTGCAAACAATTACAGGTAAGTTCATCAAACTCTCTGATAATAATGGTGAATATCAGACTAGGTTTTAAAAATACTATAATACACTAATTTTTTAGCATTTGATGAAATTTATGACCTTAATCTTTAAGCTTAACCATCATCTTGTCTACGTGTTGTAAATTCAAATTCAGAGGCGGCTCTAGAATTTTGAGTTTATGGGTTCTGAATTTTTTATCAGCTTATTAGGTTATATGTACTATGTGTATTGATTTTTAAATACAAATATAGAGTTTGAACCAAAATTAGCGGATTTTGCTGTAATTTGCTGAAACAGAGATGGAATATGTGGATAATAATGAACCTTTAAGGCACGATCATCAATAATCTCATTGGACAACAGTATCTTTTAGATTTGGCATTTTCTAGAGCCAAATGTATTTCAGGGTTTGGGAAAAAATGTTTTTTTTTTTTTATTTATAAAAAGAACTGGTTAATTGTCTTGCTCTATTTGTTAGTAACTTGGCAAGCCACATTGGTATTTTAGCTAAGTTTATATTTTTGAGTGACCAATCATAAGTTTAATAGTTTCAAAGTGATAAAAGTTAGTTTACGGACTTCTGTTGAAAAATCATTCAGTTGGATGCAGTGGTGGAGTTAGGATTTTTAATAAGGGGGTTTAAAATCTGAAGAAGTAAGCACACGAACTAATCGATGAGGGTTTGACATCTACAATATATACATAAAAAAATAATCTTAACCATGTATAAATAGTAGTAATTTCCGCCGAATGGTGTTCGGATGAACCCCTAACAATATGCTGGCTCCGCCCTCGGTTGGATGACCACTTGAGGAATTAGCCCCTAATTCCGGTTTGATTGTCACTGATCAGTTATATTTGATATTAGAGAACATGTGATGGAGTAAAATGATTTGAAGTGATCTAACAAAACTTTTCTTGGATATGTTAATTGTAGGAATTATATCAGTTTTATTCTGAAGTTTGTTCAATAGAATATATAAATTTTTTGAATTCGATATCATTATATATATTCATATTTACATAAACTTTGTTTTATTAGAGATAACGTCTAGAATCAAGATGTTCTTTACTTATCAAAAGGAAATGTGTAGATGTACTTTATATAGGAAATTGATTATAAAACTTTGTGCAAAACCAGTAAGAAATTTTCTAGAGATAGTAATAGAGATCTAAATCATTTATACTATTTTGGAATATTACGAAGATGAGGATACCTATCCATGAATGATTATGAAATCTACAAAGTGGGAGAGAGTTGGTGTAACAAACTCGATTCCCAACACAAAATGTAATATATATTAGATTCAAATTACAACGTATAATATGCACAACAAGTAATAATACACTAACTAAGGAGAGATAAACCGAGAAAGAAGTAACCAGAAAGGGATGAGATACAAGACCATAGAAGGGAGATGAGAGGATCAGAAAGCCAAAGCTTCACATAATAGTTTTCATAACCCTTCTTTCTAATCCATAGACCCTTTTAACAATAGCTAATTGGGCCTGGATCCTATATAAACTCTCTAACATTTTACTCGGCCCAATAATATCAACTGGATTAGTCATATTTGCTGCATCTAGGCCATAGGCCCTTATGAAGTCATCGTAGATCACAACAATACTTCCGCCCCCGAAAAGAACCTTGTCCTCAAGGTTCATATCAAGAAACTTCATCTGGCCACTTGGAGTATTATAAGTTCCTTGGCTGCTACAGGTGAAAGTCAGGCAGCTTTGATGATTCCAGAATTGACTCCATTATTCTTGCATAGCTTCTGAACATTGATCACAAGAATAGCATCAAGAGTACTACTAGGATCAGAAGAAGCTCCAGAAGCACTTGAAATATGATACAGAAAATACTACTTAACATGATCGGACCCATCGAGGCCAAGGTTGACCGGTTTGTCTACCCACTTTGCTATTGACATTTCATCCAACAATTTGCCACCAGGATCAAATGGAAAAATTATAAATATGTTCTTGTGCATCAATCTAGTTCCATCCAAAATCAAGAGGTCACTTCTTTCCCAGAGTAAGTCGACCACTTTATTGTCAACCAATTGTTGTCGGGCTTTATGAGAATAAATACCAAACGACTTTTGCGCCTTGTTTACTATAACTTCAGCACCTGTTTCTGTGATCTACAATGACACGCCTCCTCGGATATTTGTATATGTCATTATCAGAACAAGAGGCAGGGGATCATCTTTGTTGTCATCCAAATCCGAATTGGATATCTCCTTGAAATCGCAGTTCTCCTGTTTTGCTTGAGTTAGCGAAATTTCAGCACCCTCAGTTTTAATTTGTACCGGTATATCCTTATACTCACCTTTTGGTTTCATAGAATCCGGTGTTTGAAGCATTGCTTCAACATTCACAACATCTTCAGTTTTCTTATCCGACTTTTCCCCAAACACCTTGTGGGCAAAGGTTTGGTTGTTATAGTAGGCTAAACGCCTGTCAGGTGCTTCTTGACTCCGAGTTCAGAACCGAATGAACAATTTTGCTACAAAATGGTCCCAATCTGCAAGTTGCTTGTTTCGATATAACCAGTAATACCAATTCAAAGCATCGCCATCCAAATATAAAGAAGCCAATGACAATTTTCGATCTGAAAAAATGTTATAGTGAGTGAAATATTGTTCTACCTGAAAAACCCATGTCGCAGGGTCATCACCGTTGAATCTGGGTATTTTCACGGAATCTACTTCCATGGACGAACATGAATCAAGGGAAAATTGAGGTGTGGTCGGAGATAATTTCCCTACAACCTCTTGTAACATACATCGAATCTCAGCAATATCCTTGGACCATGAATCCTTCACAACCTTAATTGATCCGTCGATAGTTCGAAATATTTGGTCCTCCATTGAAGACCTCTGGATGAAAGCACCAATGTAACAAACTCGATTCCCAACACAAAATGTAATATATATTAGATTCAAATTACAACGTATAATACGCACAACAAGTAATAATACACTAACTAAGGAGAGATAAACCGAGAAAGAAGTAACCAGAAAGGGATGAGATACAAGACCATAGAAGGGAGATGAGAGGATCAGAAAGCCAAAGCTTCACATAATAGTTTTCATAACCCTTCTTTCTAATCCCTAGACCCTTTTAACAATAGCTAATTGGGCCTGGATCCTATATAAACTCTCTAACATTTTACTCGGCCCAATAATATCAACTGGATTAGTCATATTTGCTGCATCTAGGCCATAGGCCCTTATGAAGTCATCGTGGATCACAACAGTTGGTTGTAGAGATCTAAATGATTTATGCTATTCCAAGACAAAGATACTTTATCTGTAAATGGTGATGGAAATCGAAAGGTTGGGCGGAATTTGAGTGTGCTTTTCTTGTGTGGTGTAGAAAGCAGACAAAGGAAATTACAAGAACAGGGATATGTTGAGTATTCTAATTTTCTGCTATTGTGTTTCTTCTAAGAGTTTCTGAACTGAAAAAGCAGTAAGCAGTAGATTTTAATAGTATGTCTTAACAATGGTGTAAAAGTGCTTGTATACTAATCAGAACAACATATTAAAATTCCTAGTGTGAAAACCTTAATGTGTGGAATAAGTGATAAGTAACATTACTTGACATGATCAGCCCTTCGTCGCTTGCTGCTCTAATTCCTGTTTCTCCAGATTATTCTTTTAATGTTTTGTTCCCTTTTAGCTTGTTATGGTGATTTTTTGTTTCTTTGGTTTAATCTTTGGCAGAGCGAAGTGCAAGTGAACAAGGAAACCTTTAAGAGAACCTTCATCAATAAAGACCTTCATGAAGCAACATCACTATATACTATTGATTCTGTTTATTGGTTCTGTTCTGTCGTCAATATTACTCCTGAACCATCTTGATTCGGAGGAGGTTAGTCCTTAACCAACAGTTTGTTGTACAGTTTTTAATTCTCATTGTTACAGCTCCTTTTTCTTTTATGGTAGGATGAGTTTAGTGCCTTGAGGAGCGTGAGTTCAATATAAGTTGATCGTAATATTTCTGATATCAATGTGTTTAATTTGGAAACTTTCATGGATGAAATTCTTAGTTTGGTTTTGAAGAATTGGTTTTGAGATGAAGTCAACTTCATTTAGTTGTTTTCAAAACTAGAACTTCTTAAATCAAATGCCATATAAAGAAGCTTTGGTGCTCATGCTATTTCATTTAAGTACGTGACAATTTCATCTCAGTTTTAGCTTGCCAAGTTGAAACATATTCTTCTTAATCTAATTGGTTATATTAATATCTATAACAGTAATAATATATTAAGGTGGATTATATTGATGAAGAACTACTACTCAAGGTTTTACAGTGTAGCTATGAAATTAAAGAAGCAACGCAATTCTGTATATGTTAAATCTTTTTAGTTGTGACTGGTGACTTAGCAGGATTCTATTTTCTTGGAGGGGGAAGTGTTTGTCTTATTCTCATCAGATAGTTGTATTTTCTCTTTGACATGGATACCTCTTTTTATGTGAATTCGCAGATTAGCTTCCAAGAGTTCAAAAACAAGCTACTTGAACCTGGTCATGTTGATCGAATTGTTGTTGCTAACAAAGAAGTAGCCACAGTTTATATAAAGAATTCTTCACCTGATAATAATCAAACTTGTGATGACACAGTTCAAGGTCCTATAAGTTGTACAAATGGTAGTAGAAACCTGAGCCACCACAAATATTATTTCAACATTGGGAGTGTTGTGTTATTTGAGCAGAAGCTTAAGGAAGCACAAGAAGCCTCTGGAATAGACCCTCGCAATTACGTCCCTGTGGTATATGTTAATGAGTTGGATTGGTTGCCAGAAATGGTGAAGTTTGGTGTAATGGTATTGCTTCTAGCTATCCTTTATTATATGGATTGGGGAGGTGTTAGAGGACTATTTGGTATTGGTAAACCGCATTTCATGAAGATGGACAAAAATGCAAAGAACAAGGTGAGAATTTAGTTCCATTATTGGTGCAGCTTTAAAATAACCAACATTCTTTTCACTGAGAATCAGTTTTATTTCATGATTAGTTGGAAATTAAAGTCAGTTGGCACTTTTATTGGACAGGTCTTCTTCAAGGATGTGGCTGGATGTGACGAGGCTAAGCAGGAAATCATGGAGTTTGTCCACTTCCTTAAGAATCCCAAGAAATACGAGGAGTTAGGAGCCAAAATTCCTAAGGGTGCTCTTCTAGTGGGTCCTCCCGGGACTGGAAAGACACTCTTAGCTAAAGCTACAGCAGGAGAGTCTGGTGTACCTTTTCTCTCTATCTCTGGTTCAGATTTTTTGGAGATGTTTGTTGGTATTGGACCAGCTAGAGTTAGGAGCTTATTTCGGGAGGCAAGACGATGTGCACCTAGTATTATTTTCATAGATGAGATTGATGCAATTGGCGGTGCAAGAGGGAGGGGACACTCTTCTGGAGCAACTGATGAACGTGAAAGAACTTTAAATCAACTGCTTGTAGAAATGGATGGATTTGCAACCACATCTGGTGTAGTTGTGCTTGCTGGCACAAATAGACTTGATATATTAGACAAAGCGTTGTTAAGGCCTGGTCGATTTGATCGCCAGATTACCATTGACAAACCAGACATAAGAGGTCGTGAACAGATTTTCAGAATCTATTTGAACAATTTGAAAATTGATCAAGAAGCAGCATTCTATTCACAGAGGCTTGCTGCTCTAACACCAGGATTTGTTGGAGCAGATATTGCAAATGTTTGTAATGAATCTGCTTTGGTTGCTGCTAGGAGCGAGTGTACCAAAATCAAAATGCAACATTTTGAGGCAGCAATAGACAGGGTGATCGGTGGTCTAGAGAAGAAGAACAAGGTATCCAATCTCCTCACTTTTTTCTTGAGATGCTGTTATAAATTGCAGTCCAGTAGGGTCTGTTAAGAACTTGCAAATGGCAAAAAACTTCATGTTTGAATGATATAATTTACGAATTCAAACTACCTTTGTGCTTTCTACAGGTCATAAGCAAGATGGAAAGGAGGACAATTGCCTATCATGAATCTGGCCATGCTGTTGCTGGTTGGTTCTTGGAATATGCAGATCCATTACTTAAAGTGACAATTATTCCTCGTGGTACAGCAGCACTAGGATTTGCTCAATATGTTAGCAGTGAAAATCATTTAATGACCAAGGAGCAGCTATTTGATATGACATGTATGACTCTTGGTGGCCGAGCTGCTGAGCAGGTAAATTTATCAACTGTCTCCTAGCTTTCACTTGTTTTCCCTACAGCATTATTAGTTAATCTTTTGGAAAATCTCATCATCTGTATGCACTATGCATATGCAAACCATTTCTACCAAAGACTGTTAGAGCTTCCCCCATTGGTTGAAAAATAGGTCGTTGTCTCCTTATATGGACTTGGATGATCCTTGCATCATACTTCAAGATTGACTCCTGTGACATTCTCTTTAGGAAATCATCATTTTCTTATTATCTGCTCTGTCCACACTAAATAGTTAGCCTCTAGAAGGTGAATCCCTTGTAACATGAATTACTTGTGTTGTGGTTCTGCAAGAATATTTTATAGGCATCAAAGTTGTTTGCAGCATGTCATTTTAGGTACCTTTTTGCTGTAGGAATGAGTAATTTTCTAGGTGTATTTAAGAAGACTGTCATGCCTCCAACTTTTACAGAATAACATGCCTAAATGCATACATAGTGAATAATTCCGAATGAGTTTGGTCATATTCCGTTCTCTGCTTTTCGACCTCAACGAAAAGTTGCTTGATGAAGTAGTAGGCCTTCATACGACGACTCTGGATTTTTATAGAATGATAACCTAAAAAGCAACTTCACTTATTATACTTCATTGTTGCACAAGATTTAGTAACTACGTACCTTAATGAAAATGCAGTCTCTTTAAATCCTTTTTCTACCTGTTCTTTTTCCTAACTTTCTACCTCCATCCTTCTATTTTTCACTAATTCATATTTTCACAATGTTCATATGGATATTAACTAGTACTTAATTTTGAGTAGATTTTGATTGGAAAAATCTCAACCGGAGCTCAAGATGATTTGGAGAAAGTGACCAAGATGACATATGCCCAGGTAGCAGTCTACGGCTTCAGTGACAAAGTTGGTCTTCTTTCTTTTCCGCAAAGAGAAGATGCACTTGAGACATCAAAGCCCTACAGTAGCAAGACTGCAGCACTTATTGACAATGAAGTTAGAAAATGGGTAGCCAAGGCATATGATCGTACTTTACAACTTATAGAGGAACACAGAGAACATGTAGCTCAGATTGCAGAATTGCTACTAGAAAAGGAGGTCCTTCATCAAGAAGATATGGCCCAGGTATTGGGTGAACGCCCATTCGAGAGTAGTGAGCCCACAAACTATTACAGGTTCAAGCAAGGATTCGAAGAAGAAAACGGAGAAACTAAAGATAGCACTGACGGAAAAACCACACAAGATGATAGATCATCACCTGTTGAACCAAAGATTGTCCCAGTCAGTGTTGTCAAAGGCAATAAAGCGCAGGAAATAGCAGAGAAAGGCACAAGGTATGTTGGGGCTTTAAGCGTAAAGCGGAAATGTGCAATTAAAGGATGGGTTCTAGTAAAGAAAGGTGCAACGAAGAAAAATATTATATGAACAAAATGATAGTATAAACGTAATATATGAAGTACAAAGCATGCCTATCAAGTTCAAAAATCAGTTTGGAACTTTAATTTTAGATGCAAAGCTGCAGCTTTTAGTTTCTAATTCAAGCTTAAATGACTAGTTTTCCTATATCAAGTTTCTAAATTCCTTTTCTGATTAGTGAAAATCTTATTTATAAGGTGTTAACAGTGGTGGAGCTAGGAATTGCAACAAGGGGATTGTCTTAGTATAATTATGGGTCATGTTTTGTAAATGACAATGAAGAACAGCGACGGTATAAATTACCAGTAATATTAGTATTATTTTCGATATTTTTATTATTTTACTATTTTTGTACTTCTGATCACTCTTAGTTTTCTATTACTACTTGTCTCGTATGCCTCTATTTCTTACTATCCTGCTATGGCTTATGTGTTCATAAATGTTGTGCTTTTGCTTTGAGCCGAAGATTTATCGGAAACAAGCTCTCTACATGACTTTATCCTCTCCAGACTCCACTTGTGGGACTATATTGTGTATGTATTGTCGTTAAAGGAAGCAGACAAAAAAGCTAAATGTGAAAGCATATGTTCAGATTCATTTTTAATTGAGATTGACTTGGTCTACCGTTTATTCAAATGAAACTTAAAATCTCAATCAGTTGCTTTCTACCAGCGTGCACATCTTCTCTTTGGCACCCATCCTTGGCTTGAGGAGTGGTTTCTCTCTTCCATGTGAACTGAGGAAGGATAAGAATACGAATAATCGTCATGAATGATTGGTATTTCCACTTATGGTTACAATGCCTCTAAACAAACACTTAAAAAAAATAAAAATGACCTACCTAATATCATCAACTTAATAGTTATATGATGTAACTTGTAAGTATCACGTACACTTCTCAAACATACATGAGTTTTAGTATTGAAATGTAACCTCCCAAATTTCACTTTTATTTATTGCGTTTTGTTTATCCAAAATTAAATTTATATGAACTTTGACCAATACTTTAACACTCTGTTTGGATCATTGTTATTCATTATATTGTATTGTATCGTTACTATACCTACACTGTTTGTTTTGATTGCTACTTAAAATGTATTGTATTGTATTGTTATATTCCATTGTTACATAACAATGAAAACCCCATTTTATGGAACAACTAATATGGTGTGTTTCCATTGTTACTTAATTTCTTTTTCCAATTATATCTTTACATAATATTTCATAATACTATTTTACCCTTTACCTTATATTATTTAATTCTAATCAAACCTCCTACCCTAGAATAATTAAGGATATTTTAGTAAATTTATAAATTACAATACAATGCGATACAATCAAACCAAACAATAAAAATGTTATTAAACAACAACAAATAATACAGTTAAGCCAAACATTGTATCTACCATACAATAGAGTACAATACAATACAATACAATACATTATGAAACAATGGGTAACAATGATCCAAACAGAGTGTAAAATTTTATTTCCATCATATTAATATATTCTCTCCGTCCAACAATAATTATCCACTGTACTAAATATAATTGTTCAACAATACTTGTCCAATTTAGAAAATCAAGACATAATTTTGTTTTTGTGTCTATTTGACCCTTATTATTAAATAAGTACTATATCATCTAACACATTTGTCAAATCATTAAATTTAACAAAATCAAAGGATAATATAGTAATATTACCCTTATTATTTATTGTTTTTTAAGGGGTGTTTCAAGACAACAGTGAACATTTTTTGTTGGATAGATGAAGTAAAAAAGATCACAACTTATGTATCGTATAGTTTTCACACATCTAAAAAATTTAAATATTAAATTAATTTAATTCAATTTATTAGTACTAACACATTACATTATAAGCAATTAAAGTTTAAACCATGACGAATGCAACAAAACGATCACAAATTATAAGTCGAAAGAAGTGCACAGAGTCCAGAGAGATTTCTCGATAATCGTGTCAGTCGGTTACAACTGAAATTTTTCTTTTGATTTGAAAAAATGAATTAAATAAAGCAAAACTGAAAAATCACACTATATAAATACACATAGGGCTAAATCGCAAGCATGTCTTCAATGAGGGCACTATTCTCTCTCAATCGATAACTTTCGGTTTCAGAGAATGACATCAAGATCAAGGTAGTTTTCATTCCAAATTCACCTTCCATTGCTTACATTATCTGTTTTTTTTTCACGGTTTTGTTTTTGTTTTCAGTAGAATCGGAGTAATGGCTGAGGACAAAATCGTTCCCGGAGAAGAGAGTTTCGATCAGGAAAACAGTGATGATGAGACGACTGACGATGAATCTGATGTGTCTGAGGATAGTAGCGTTACTGGAGAAAGCTACGATGAACATCCCTTCATTAAAACTCTTGTCGCCAACAGAAAAATGTACTTGATTGAGTGTATTGGCAAATCTGTTGAATCCATTGAGAACGATATGGAGGAACTCGAAGTGCGACGTACTAAAGTAACTTGTCCTACTTCTCTAATGATCATTGATGGTCATAAGATATTGCTCCTTGATAGACGCGAAAGAATGCAGAAGAGGTTGGAAGAGGTGAAGCATGGACTGCAGCCAGTTCAAGGTATATCATATTCTAGTTGTGCATGTCTATAGACGTATCTCGAAGTTATTATTAAATTCTTCCGATTGATCTTAGTAATTTGGTGAAAAAGGAATTTAGTTATCTGTAATTCTGTCGATTGTTAAGAATTGAAGTTGATATAGAAGCTTCTTTGTGATTCGACATCGACAAATGCATCTCTATTTTTTGTTCATCAGGCCTAGTTAAATGCTTTTTCAAATGATAAAAGTTTATCGTCTTCCAACTTATTATTTGTAGCGATCTATTGAAACAAGCTCAATAATAACCAAGGGAAGTGTTGTAATATTGCAATCACTAATTGAAATTACAAAGAAATAACAACTGAACTGATATGGAAGAAGAAGAGCGATGCAGAAGAAGAAAAAGGATGAGAAGATCAAAAACTTCACATAAAAATAACCTACTCTTACTATGCCTACTCACTGCTCCTTATAGCAAACTCTCACTCATTACACTGTTTCCCTGCACCACTTGCTATTCACGTTTTTGTCATCCAGGCTTCACAATGAGATCTGCCAACCTTTTAGAGGGAATTGTCACGGCTTGCTCCTTTTAGGTCTGAGTAATGTTCTTGTCCACTGTAGCTGCCAAGTTCTCCTCGACGTCATCATTTGTGTTCATAACATTTATCTCCATTTTGAAATTTCTGCCTTATAGACTTTATCTTTCCTTCAATGCTGCAACTCCTTTGACTGAATGATTAATCCTTGAAATACTGCTGTTTCCAATCTCAGAGTCGCTAAAAGAAGATAATCAGACCTTGACTGACCTGAAAATTGAGATAAATACTGATGAGAAGAATGAAAATCTGATGATGGAGCATGTTGATCTGCAAGTTAAAGGTATAGCTTCAGTTCTCTGTCTGTTTTGTGTATGTATGGTTGTATATCCGAAGAGCATTCATGTAATAATCCTTTTTATGATCATTTGGAAATTTAGTGATGTATTTTCTAATTAGAAGATTTGATTAATGCTCTGATCTATTTGCTTAAGATGTTCTCTCATCTTGATATTCATTGAAGTTTCTCTCATATTCTGCTAAATTATTCTAATAGGCCTTCTGCCTGTGTTCATTAGAGTTCAGCTTCATAATTGTTGTACTTTTATCTCTTTTTAAAAACTCTGTTCTTATCTATTCATTTTAGATGTTTGCGCATCTTGTTATTCACTAGGTTTCTACCTGGTTCTGCTAAATTATTCTATTAGGTCTTCAGTCTATGTTCCGAGAGGTTCAACTTCAAAATGGTTTTACTTTTATCTAGCATTTATTTTTAACTCTATTCTGATCTATTTGGTAAGATGTTTGTTCATATTTGTATTCATTGAACTTTCTCTCGGATTCTACTAACTTATTCTATTAGGCCTTCTGTCTGTGTTCAGCTTCATAACGTTTGAACTTCTATCTGTCATTTTGAACATTGTTATGGATTTGGTTTTGCTGCAGTGTGACATAAATAGCAACCATGTAAATGAGGAGAAGGGCAACAACTGAGGTTTGCAAGTTAAAACTTTGTTCACATTTCAAGGTTTAGAAGTAAACAAATTTTCTGTGGCGTAAATAAAGAAATGAAGTATGATAGCTGATGTTGAGACTATGAACGACTTGTTTTGTCCTGAGATTTGCTGTGAGTACTCTTTGATGAAAAGTAAGTAAAGGACAGAAAAATCTTCAAATAGTTCATTGCATTAGAATGGTAAAGTGAAACACACAAGAATATTGTGAGACAGCAGCTTATTACTAGAATCGAATCTTGACATTCAGTTTTAATACAATGCTTAGTCCTGTATTCATTATCTCCGTCTCGTTTCTTTTTTTTTTTCCTTTAACCTGCTAGTTTTCTCCATGTTCTAATTTCCAAATTGCTAATTGAATAGAACACACACTGCCTGAAAAAAGAAATGATAAAGTTTTCATTTTAGCAGTGTGTAGTTTCTAGTTAAAAGATGAGTTAATGTTCAAAAACACTCTTAAACTATCACTTTTTCTCGAGTTACAGACCGCAACTATTCATTGTTCCCTTTACCTACCTAAGCTATCATATTCTTTGTATTAAAACACACCTCGATGCTAAGTTGGTCAAATATTAAATCATTCATACATAAGTAGTCATTTTCTGATAATTAATTTTACAAAAAGAACTCCCTCGCATTTCCTAGACGCATAATATTCTTTTTTTGCTCAATTTGAATGAAACAAGACGCATTTGGAACCACACTCTCTGTTCTGCATATCCTAAATTAATTTTCTTGATCTTTAAAAGTTTTATGCTTTTGAGGTCTTTGGGAAGAAAAGTAGAAAAGGCACCCCACTTGCAACATCATTAAATTCCAGATTGCCTATTGCGAACCAAAAAAACTTGAGAAGAAACTTGGATATCCAAAAACTTGCTTTCTTTCATAGTGGAAACCCAAATAATGGACAAAGAAGAGAAACAAACAAGAAAGCGATGTTTAATAACAAACGTGTTGCACATAAGCACCCAAGGATGTGCCAAGTAGTCCCGAAACGAGAAAAAGCCTCAAGATCAGGAAAGAAATTTCACTAGAGACCAACAAAAAAAACTCTAGGCGATTTTTTCACAGCTACCTAGGTCTTGGTGGGTAGAGTTATTGGGTAGTAGCAGATATTCAAGGAATTGGTCGAAGTGTGTGCAACCTTAGCTTGTATACCACTGATATGGAAAATAAACCAAATGTGCTTCACACTTATTGGAAATGACTATCTGCTAGCCATTT